AAGTTGTGCAAAGTTATTTCCCGGGTGCGCRGGGCCGCGCTGGACATTTAGCATTATTATACTGTATTCCGTTGTTTTATTACCTATTTTTCCCCCCTTCCCGCTTGTGGCATCGCGCGCCGCGGCCGGAGGTGGGCCAGGCTCCCCTCCCGCTGCCTATCCTGCCTCTATTGCTTTTCCCTCCCAAAATGTTTCCTACTCTCTCCCGAGCCCACGGGGACCAGGCGTGCAGGCAGCCCTACCCCTCAGCCCCCCCCCCGGGCACCCCGAGGGCATTCCCGAGGCATCCCCTCAGCCCTTTTTGGGGGTTCGATCCCCCCAAAGGAGCCCCTATTCCAGCCGAGAAAACCTTTCCCTAATTGCCTGGGCTCGGCGGCGCTGCATTGACCAGCCTGGGGAGGGGGGATAAAGCCGAGAAGGATTTTGATCTTCCTGCGGCGGCACCGGCAATGGCCAAACTTTAATTGCCAAAAAAACCCCTCCAAGCCCAGACAGCCCGGAGGCTGGGGGGCAGGAATGTGGCCACTCTCCCCTGGAGTTCTCAGTTTCCCCGGAGTGCAGATGACCCTGGAAATGGAGATTTCCTGGCCAAGGTGCACTCCAATGGCCCGTTTCCCTTTTTGCTTCCTTGGAATTTGCCTTTCCCGGCCGGGCCTGGGTGCCCCCCAGTCGCCGCCGGCCTTTTCCCCCCTCCTCGCCCTGCGCTTGCTGCGCTCCCCTCCTCTCCCTCTTTTCCTTTGTTTGCCATCTCGCTCCCTGTCTCTGACGCGTACGCCGCTCCATCCAAATGCAATAGTGGGATTTGCCAGAATTATTTCCTAAAGCTGCCGGGGAGAGGGGGGAGGTTTGGATGGAGGGGGGTTATTTAACTGCAACCAACTGGAGTTTTGGCTGGTGGAGGAACTGGGGGTGCAGGCTGTCCCAGCCCGGCGCTGATGGGAAGGGCAGAGCCCGGGAATGGGTGGGAGAAGGGGGAAGGCAGCCTGAAAGGGAATCGAATGCCAGTACAATGGAGCAGAGCTGGGTGTGCTCAGGGGCAGAGGAGCAAATTGAAATATTTACTTACCCCAAAAGCAAAAAGGAGAAAAAAAATATGAAGCCCCAGGGAACGGCAGTGCCACCGCGCTCAGGGTCTTGCCCTGCCGCTGGTGACAGTGCTTCTGCCCTTGTCCCACTCGGGGCTGGCGGCACGGGTGCTGTGCACTCCAGGAGACGCCGGCCAGACCACCCGGGTGGGGTGCGGGATTGCCTCTCTTGCAGCCCAGCATCCCTCTCCGGGGTGCCCCGGAGGGTTCCCAGCCATCTGCCTGGCTTTGGGTGTGCCTGTCCCCCCGTGGCGCGGTGCAGTGACAGATCCCCGGAGGGCATGGCCCTCTGGGAGTGGTGTGGTGGGGACCCCCCCATCGCCACAGGCAGAGCCCCTTTGGCTGGGCTGGCCGGACATTCCTCGCATGCCCGAGCCCACCCGGTACTGTGGCACAGCACATCCCACCCAAGCGTGCAGCTACCTGGGGACACCGCGGGCCTCCTCTCAAATCCTGCCCTGGGCATCCTGTGGACCCCCAGGAAGGTACTGCCTCGGGTGAGGGGGCTGGCCCAGGGGATGGTCCCTCCAGGAGGGGCAGCGGGGTGTGCGGGGGGCACTGCGCACGGTGCCGGGGTGCATGTGTGGCTTGCTGGAGGCAGCTTGGCGGACTCCACTCAGTGCTGGAGCCCCAGGGAGTCCAGCTGCCTGGCACACAGGCAGGGCTTTTTTTTCCTCTTCTTTTTCTTCCTCTTTTATTTATGAAAAAAAAAAATCCCCTTTTTTTTTTTTTTTTGTACGTTCTTGGAATAATGAAGTCCAGATTTCCTTCATGTTGGAAAGATTTGATCCCAGCTCTGCTTGCTGTAGCTTTGCTGGGGGCTGGGAGGAGAGGTGGGGAGGGCTAGGAGTGGGACCCCTCTGGGGAGGGGGATGCTGCAGCTGAGGGGGGGTGTGAGGAGGGATGGAGGGATGCTCCTCACCTGGGCAAGGCTCACTGGCTTGGGTGGAGGAGCGTGCTGCAGCAGTTCTGGCTGCGCTCGCCTCGCCCTGCGTGCTTGGCTGGGCACCCAAGGAGGTGAGGCTGGGCCTCCCCCCTTCCCAATTCCTGTCCCCCCACCCCCCAGCCTGCAGAGTGTAGTTCAGCCCCCCGGGCTGACTTCCAGCCCTCCCCAGAGGATGCTGCCTGCCAGCAGATGATGGAGAGCGGGATGGGGAGATGTGGGGCTTGTACTCCCCGGGGGATAGTGGGTGCAGTGAACTGACATCCCTCCCCCATGTGCCGTCCTTGGCAGGCTCAGACCCCCGGACTCCCCTCGATCTCAGCGCCCAGGCGCGTGCCCACCATGCCCGTGGTCGGCGTCCTCCTCTGGGCCACCCTGCTGACTCTGGGCTGGCGGGCTGCCCACCCTAAGGACCACAGCTTGGCCACTCCCAGGGTCCAGCTCTCCTTCAAAGGTAAGAGCCTGGCGGTGGGAGTCGGGGGGTAGGGTGGGACACCAAGATGAAGGAAACCAGGGGCAGTCCAGTGCAGGCTGCTTCTCCTCCTCTTCTCACTCGGGGGGCATCAGCAAGCTGCATCCCCAGAAATCTCCATGGGAATCCATATTCAGGTGTGGCTGAGCTCCCAGTCTGCCCCAGCACACAGTCTGGGAGGGCTGGTAACCTGCCTGATTCCCCCAACATGCTTTCCCTAGTGAGTGGGTAGCTCTCTCCATCTGGCAAAAGTGGATGCTGAGGTGCAGGAAGCCCCCCCCCAGCGGCACCCCAATTCCAGACAGCAGCTTGACGCCACCCCGACCCCCCCAGCTGGTATTAATGCCTGGGAGCTGGCAGGGAGCCGGGAGAGGCAGGAGGGGAGGGTGCCGGGTGGGGGGAAGGTGTTTAACTCTTTGATGCCGGGGCTGCTCAGCCCACCCACCAACTCCAGGAGCTGTGGGGGGACCCCTAGGTCAGCTATGGGGTGCACATTGGTGAAGGGGTTTATCGTGAGCTCCTGCTTTGTGGATGCTGAGTGGGGTGGGCTGGGGCCGATGAGACAAGTCCGAGGGCTGCAAACCTCGAGGAGTGGAATGGAAATTGTCCCTGCTGGGGGTTTGTCTGCTTGGATGCGTGTCAGGAGGTGACAGACACGAGGAGTCTCGTGTCTGCCTCCCCTTCGAGTCCTCGGGAGAGCTGGGGCTGTGCTGCTTGTGCTGCCTGTGCCCCTGCTGTGCTGTCCCACCGTGCCTTTGCCCTCCAGTCAGGAACCGAACCGGCGAGCCCAGGATGTGGTGGCAGAACCGACCATGAGCACAGGGCAGGAGGGGCCGGGGGGCTGGCGGCAAACACAGCAGGGCAGGGCTGGTCGAGGGTGTTACGGGCTGGTCTCGGCAGGAAAAAGGGCTGGTATGAAGAGTCTGGGGACAAGTCCAGGCTGGAAAGCAGTGAGCAGTTCCTCCCCAGAGGCAGGCAGAGCTTTCCTCTCAGAAAGGTGTTTTCTGAGGATTTTGGGGGCTGCTGGGGCACTTTGGCTGCTGTAGGGATGCCTCCCCACCCTGGCTCAGAGCATCTCTTCCTCACAGCTGTGTTGTGGGGAGGGGAGGCTCCAGTGAAGCCCCAGTTGGACCTGGTGCCCACTGCCACGGTGTGTCCCAGGAGGAAGCTGAATTCCAGATAGACATGGTTAAGCTGCATGTTGGGGGCTGGTTTGGACTTGGTATTTTTTCACCCTGGTTGGCTGGAGCAAGGGCCCCTGGCTGCACTCAGGGGACCTGGGAGCATCACCCAAGTGCCTGTGTCAGGTTCTCCACTCCTTCCTGACCTAGGAGGTCTGGCAGAGTTCCCCTTGCCCTTGCTGCCCAGAGAGGGGATTTGCAGTGGGAGAAGGACTGGTTTGCACTGACACACAGAGAAGAAATGCCAGTGGCATGCTGGATCCAAGCACATCAGAATCGGGAAGGGATGCCACTCACCTCTTCCCTGCCTGCATTCTTGCAGCGGTGGTGGCAGCAGAGAATTATCCCGGGGTCTTCCTCAAGGGCCAGCTGGACTCCACACACTGAACTGTCAGTGAGCAGCATCCCGAGTTAATAATCTGTCCGCAGCCTCCCCAAAGTCATGGGACCATGAGATGTGGGATGGCAGTGGCACATCCTGGAGGGTCCAGCCCCTCCTCTTGCCTGGGGAGCCAGGGCTGGTACCCACATCCCTGGCCCCAAATCCCCCAGGACAGATGCAGGCAGTGGGGCTGGCTGTGATGGGTCTGGGCTGGGGGACACTGCTGTGATGAGCTGGGCTGGACTTTGCCATCAGGGACATGGCCGTGGTGCCACAGAGAACCTGGAGGCCATTGGTGTGGGCACAGCTGGAGGGATGCTGCTGGGTTTGGGGTGCAGTGTCCCCACCACCAACATCCCTCTGGCTAAAGCATCCCTGTGCCAAGGCACTGCGCTGTGGGGTCAAGGTGGCCATAAGCACGGCAGAGTGCTGGGGAAGGGGCCGCCATGTCCCCGTGCGTGTCCCCCAGTGCCGTGCCTCAGCAGCCACGCTGCCTGGAGCCCTGCCAGCCCCGGGAGCGTCTCTGGGTTTGTTTGCCTTTGCTTGTTATCGCGCGCCAGAGGTTTGTCGCAGCTCCCCGGGGCCTGCGTCATCCTCCACGGAGCCCCGGCGTCTCTGAGTGTGTTAAAAAAATACATACATAAAATACCAAAGCGATAGGGAAGGGGTGGGAGCCAAGCTCCTGTGCCCTGATGGGCTGGGCAGGGTCATCCCCCGGTCCTCCCCCCATCCCGTCACCCCCATGGTGTCCTTACGTCTGTCCTCCTCTCAAGGCTTTCCTGTCCGTGTGTCGGCAGGAGGAAGGTGACCGGCATGGAAAGAACAGTGCTGGGAGCGGCTCCGGCACAGCTCCCTTTTGCCAACAGCTCTTCCCAGATCCCAGCCCAGTGCTGGCCAGAAATAGGGTGGATATTTTTAATCATCTCCTTGCTAGAAATTCCCCCCCCCCATTCCCGTACACATCCTGCGGCCCCCTCTCCTCTGGGCCTTCCTCCGGGCTGGGGGCTCAGGCACCGGAGAGGCTGGCCCGTTCCCCACGAGGATGCAGGAGGTGATGATGATGGTGATTCATCCCTCCATGTCCTGCTCCCTGTCCGGCGTGGGAAAAGCGTGCGGGAAGGAAGGGTGGGCTCTCACCCCGCATCGCTGTGGGAAGCCGTCGAGGTCAGGTCTCTCCGTGGGGCTTCAAAACAGGAGCCGCTCCCCACGGTGAGGGGAACAGCCGTGCTGGCACCTCTCGGAAAATCTGTGGCCCACGTCCAGCAGGGGCAGCCCTGGCAGGGAGGGGCTGGGTGAGAGGCAGGGCAGTTCCTGCAAGGGGAAAAAATCACTTTAGAAAGAATAAATCAAGCATGGAGTCCCCTCTTGGCTTCGCTGCCAGCCGCCTGTGTGCCCTCTCTCCTGCCTGCCTCGTGCCTCAGTTTCCCCCCTCACCCTGCTGGCATCTCTGCCGGTGGCCAGGGGATATCAGCATTCTTGATCCAGGCCAGGGGGTGGCAGATGGCTGGAGAGGAGCCCGGACAGGGGACTGTGTCCCTGGGCCGCCCAGGCGCCCTCCTAAGCTGCCGCAGCTGTGGGCACCACTTGGCGACAGCAGGATGGAATAAACATGGGGGGGCACGGGGGTGCAGGAAGGGCCAAGGGCTTGGGGACAGCCAGTCCTGGGAACGTGCCAGGCAGTGCTGGCACTGTTGGTCCCCACCCTGGCGTGAGTTTGGGGGTGTGCTGGATCCCCACACTGCTCATCAGACCCCACAAAGGTCAGGGGGATGTCGCAGTCCCCTTTCCCGCGCTCTGGAGGCGGGGACATGGGGCTGAACTCTTTGACCCCTAAGAGGATTTCCTTGGCTGGGACAGTGGGGGGCTGTGGCAGGGCTCCCCCACCCGCTGGGACCGGCTGCTGCTTGGGCTGAGCTCCCTGGCTCCGGCTGCGAAGCTCCATAAGCTCCTTAAACCCTCCTCCCCCCCAAAAAACCCCGGTGTGATTTCATCCCCCCCAAGCCTATGTCTAATAAGCTAGTTATCCCTCAAATTAACAATGCTGCTTATGGAGCAGCATGGCCCTTCCTGGGGTCCTGGCGCGGGTGTTCCCCCTGCTCTGGTGCTGCTTGGGCACAGAGCAGAGGGCCCGGAGCAGCATTGCTTTCCGCCCGGCACTGTGCCCTGCCCTCAGGGGCTGCGGAAGGAAATAATGTCCAAAAGTTAAACAAAAAAAGCCTAAAAGCCGGCGGGTGGGGACACCTCGGCTCAGCTCTTTGCTTTTGGGGGGATTAAAGTCTTTTTTTTCTGAAGCCAAGCTCTTTCCTGAAGGGGTTTTCTTGCTGCTGGAGCATCCCCTGACCCAGCTCCCAGCAGGGATTCGGGGTCACCACTGCGGAGTGATGCTCAGTGGGGATGGGGTTCCCCACTGCCAGCGCTGCTCGCTGGGGCACATCCACCCACCAGCGCTTGGGGCAGGCTGGCCGGGGGATGAATCAGCGGTTTCGGCTGAAAAAATCTGTTTTTTCTTTCTTTTTTTTTTTTTTTCCCGTTTTTTTTTCCTTTTGGCTTGCACCCAACCGGCCGGGCGGCGATGGCTGCACGGAGCACCCGGCCGGCACCGCTTTCATCCCAAGGGATTTGACCCGGGCGGCCGCAGCACCTGTCCCCTGCCACGAGTGCCGGCATGGGGTGGTGCTCCGGGGGGGGCTGGAGATGATCGGGAGTGGAAGGCAGCGAGCGGGAGCCAGAGTCATTTCATCTCCCAAGCCCCTGCAAGGCAGCTTCGGTTTCCTCCCACCTGTGAATCGGTTAAATGGGAAAAGAGCTTGGCTGGGGGCCACGGAAACTCTCTTATTACATGTAATTAGCTTAATTACATCATAAATAACCCATCAAGGGGTAGCGGAGTGACGCTCAAACAAATAAGCAATTCTGCTTTCATCGGACGACCCACCCAGCTCTTTGATCATCCCCAATAACAACAAATGCTTTAACCACGCGAGGGGACATGTTCAGCCCCCCATCCCTCTCCTGGCATTGCTCCCTATCCTGCCTCTCTGACTGCATCATCTACTACATCCCAAATTTCAAGTAGGGAAAAAATTAGCAGGGAACATCATCAAAATATGGGACATGCTTCTAAATTTGTGGGATAAAACGCTGCAGGATGGAGATGGGATTTATCCCTGCCGTGCCAGGCTCCCTTGGGATCAATGCTGGGCTTCTCCATCGGCATTTAGAGTGAATTCATTCTCCCTCATGCAAAGAAAGGGCTCCCGAAAGGCGCTGGCTCCGCCAGCCGCGGGGGGGAGAGCAGTTATTGAATATAAACACGCCGTGTAATTTACATGCTAATTATGTTGAATGCGCTACAAGCCCATAATTAGAATCTAATTAGGTGAGAGCGCCTGTAATTGGTTTTGGGGAATGCAGTGATGGTGCACCTGGGGAGGTGCCCCGCTCAGGTCCTAATGGCATTTCACTCTTCATGCTGGTGCCCTTGTGATGTTTTGGGGGGGGGTCGAGGGGGATTTGGAGGGCTAGGGTGGGGTGAGAAGCCCTTGGGGGTGTTTGGTTTATTGGGAATTCCCCAAATCTCCCCTTTGCTTTGGGTCTCCATGCCAATGGGTGATGGGTAGGGACTGCTCACCCCTGCCCGTGGAGGCCAGTGGTGGCAGCCAGCAAGGATGGCAGCATGGGCAGCTGCCAGGGCTGGGAATGCAGCCCGAGTTTGGCATTGCAGGGGGAATTTGGCTTCGCAGATCGTGCAGTGGGGCGGTGGTGCCACAGGCAGAGAAAAGCATTTCCCGTTGTTGCCAGCCCTCGGGCTCCTGGCCACTGGCATTGCTTGAGGGTGCAGGGTAATTAAATCTCAACGCCCAAGGCCACGGAATGATTCTGGGGGAGGTGAATGCCTGGGGACGATCCCCAGGGAGGCCACCCTGGCTGTGATGCCTGAGCAGCTCCTGGCTCCGGTGCTGGGCAATTAAAATGGGATTAGGCTCCCGGCCAGCCAGGGAAGCTCTGCTGGTGCCGGGATTGGCAACGGGGGTGCAGGAGAGTGTATGCTCATCGGGGCGCATCAGCTAATGAGCCGGCTTCTCCAGCCCGGGGGTGCCCCTTCTCCAGCCCCAGGACACCCCGCAGCTGCTGGGGGCAGGTTTGGGAGCACAGTGGCGATAGGGGATTAGGCAGGGAGGGCAGGGGGATGGAGGTTTGGAAGGTCAGAGGTTGGGGTAGGGGCTCGCCCGCCCCTCCATCGCCTTTAGAGAGGGCGTTATGGGGCAGTGGATCTGTCACCACCCTGCCTAGGGAGTGCCCCCTCTGATCGCTGGGCCGTGGGGGGCTGAATGGAGCCCCCGGCAGGGGGCCAGGGCCTTTTGTGCTGCTGGCCTTGTCACCTGCCAAGTCCTGGGGACGCCCATCCTAGTGGCTGTCAGATATTTGCAGTTGTCACTGTCATGGGACCCTCTGCCACCAGCGTCCTGGTGCTGCCCGGCTCAGCCCCAGGGTCCTGGCCAGGAGGGCGAGGATGGGAGCACGTCTCCTGGGAGGTTGAACATGGCATCCCCAGGCCGGGCAGTGAGGATGGGGGTCTGTCCTGTCATGGGGGCTCCTTCCCAGTTTAGCTGCCATTCCTATCTGCCTGCTCCAGGTGTCTCTGTCCTGACTGGGATAGCTGGGCATGCAGTTACATCATCGGCAGCTGGGGACGAGCTGTTCTGCTCTGCCTCACCCGCTGCTGGAGCTGCCCTGCCCTTCCCTGGCTCCCAAACTCCAGTCCCCACCAACATCGGTGTCCCACCGGGGGAAGCACCAGCACGCGCGCACACACACATATTGTGGGGCACACACATGTACACACACGTACACACACAGTGGGGCAGCTGCAGGACATGGGACAGGCAGGCACCAGACCCAATACGCCATGGGACAGGCAGGGACACTGTGGGACAGGCAGGGAAGGCTACAGGACAGACTGGGGACACCATGGGTGGCAGGCAAGCCAGCACCCGCCACAGGGAGCATCTGGAGCCCAGATGGGACAGGCAGGAGGAGGAGCATGCTGTGGGTGGCTGAGCAGCTCCCCAGCCCTCCATCCTTGGCACTGTTCCATCCCACCTCTGCCGTGGACCCCCCGCCTGCAGCCCAAACTGCCAGCCCCTCCTCATACCCACTGTGCTTGTCCTGTCCATCCAGCCCTGGCAGAAGGGCAGACTCCCAGGCTGGGGGAGGTTGATCTCCTGTCCCATGATGCAGTTTCCTGCAGCCTGCTCCAGCACATTCCCACCCCGTGGTGCCTGGAGTGCGTTGGCCTCACCACCACAGCTGAGCAGCGCTGAGTGGGCTCCACCATGGGACTGGGGAGCACCACTGCCAGCCGTGGGACAGAGTGGGTGCCCAGGATGAGAAGGGACCCTGGGGACACTGGTGGGATGTTGCCAGTCCTCTGTGAGGCTGGGAGGTCAGGGAGATCTGCAGGCACTTGGCCTCCCACTGGGAATGGCAGCTGGCCACTGGAGCCCTGCCCAGCCCTGCCTGGAAGCCAGCAGGCTCCTTCCTGACTCTGACCTGCAGGACCTTCTCTGTTCCTCCCCAGGAAGGGGGGTCCCCAGGGCTGCTCCCAGCTCCCAGTGCCTGCACAAAGGGACAAACTCCACAGGGTGAGGATACTCATTGGACCAGTGTACTATGGGAATGTCATCTGATGGCTGTAGGTGGCATCCAAAGGGGGTTATACCTCCAAAAAGAGTGGCATTTCCAGAGGGGTTGCCTTCAGAGGGAGATGGCAACACAAGGAGGTGGCATCCAATGGCTGTTGGTATAATCTAAAGAGAGTGGCACCTCCAAAGGGAAGCATATGGGTAAGATGATGTCCTAGGGAGGATGACATCTGATGGCTTGGAATGGCATCCGATGGTTGTTGGTGGCATCTAAAGGGATGGCACTTCCAAAGGGAGAGGCATCCAGAGCAGATGTCATCCCATGGAGGTGGCATCTGATATCTGGGTGTAGCATCAAAAGGGGGTGACACCTGCAAGGCGAGTGGCACCTCCAAAAAGTGGCATCAAGGGCAGGTAGTGTCCTGTCGGGGTAGCGTGCTCTGTCTCACTCGTGTCCTGGTCCCTGCCTCATGGTTCTTGGCACTGGCCCACATCATCTGCAGCACTTCTGCCTTCCATCTGGCTGCCTCACTGCACTTGTGAATATTCATGACCCTCATTATCCTCTTTCACTCCTTGCTCCCACACTCAGGCTAAAAATAACTTTCCAAGGGGGGTGGGGTGTGCAGGGTAGGGGAGAGGCTCATCCCCTCCCCAGGAGCTGGCTCCCTGGGGTCCCAGCTCCCCCATCCTAAGAGACAGAGGCTTGGCTTGGGCATGGGGTCACAGGGCAGAAGGATGATGCCAGAGGTTTTAGTCCCTGGGCTGACATGTCAGGGAGCCCCCACCTCTTGCCCTATCTTAATGGTGAACTCCACTCCCTGCTGTGGTGTGCTGGGTCTCCTGAGCCCAGGTCCTGCTGCCCTCTCTCCTGGCCGGTCTTGGTTGTCCCAAGTGGCCATGAGCATCTCTGTCATTGTCCCGTGTCCTGCACAGAGGTGACAGCATCATGGTGCTCACGGAGGGGAAAGAAGGCACTATGAGACTGGAAGGTGGGCACCATGGCCTGGGAGGTGGGCACTTCTTGTCACGGGACTCACCCTCCTGCAGCTGGGACCAGGTTTGGACTCAGGGGCAGGGATGGCACTGGGGCAGACGGGAGTCCCTGGGGTGCTGACCCTGGGGTGCTTTCCCCTTCTAGAGCTGAAGGCAACGGGCACAGCCCACTTCTTCAACTTCCTCCTCAACTCCAGCGACTACCGCATCCTGCTGAAGGACGAGGACCACGACCGCATGTACGTGGGCAGCAAGGACTACGTCCTGTCGCTGGACCTGCACGACATCAACCGCGAGCCCCTCATCGTAAGCTGATGTCGCAGGGCGGGGGGGGCAAGTGGAAGAGGGACAACCAGGCGTCTGAGGGGTGTTTTTGATGCCAGGGCAAGAGCTCGATGGGCATGATGGGCTCAGCTGGTGCTGATGGGGAAGTGGTGGGTGCTGATGGGGCTGGGTGGGAGCCCCGGTCTCCCCTGAGTTGGTGTCTCTGCAGATCCACTGGCCTGCGTCCCAGCAGAGGATTGAGGAGTGCATCCTGTCAGGCAAAAACAGCAACGTGAGTGGCCACCATGAACCCCCTTCTGGTAGCTGAGGAGGGCTGGTGGAGGGCACTGGAGGGGAATTCATGTCCTTGTGTCCTACCCTGGAAAAGCCATCCCCTGAGTCCCCTGTAGTGTGACAGCATCTGTAACTGTGCTGGAATGGGTTGGCACTCCAGAGTGTCACAGTGTCCTGCCACCCCCTCTGTCCCAGCCATGCAAGTCAAGGAGAGATTCCCGGGAGAGTAGGAGGTTGAGCTCCCCATGCTGCTTCCTCCCTCCAGCCAGGGCTGGGCTCTCTGGTTTGACACCTTGTGGCCCATGCTAACCCTTGATCCATGCTGTCCCATGTCACATGCCATCCAATGACATTCCATCCCATGGCCCACATCACACCATCACATGCCCACCCCAACCATGGCCCCACCCCAACCTATGGCCCCTTGCTGGGGTTGATACCCTCTACTCTGCTTCTCAGGGGGAGTGTGGCAACTTCATCCGCCTGATCCAGCCCTGGAACCGGACACACCTCTACGTGTGTGGCACCGGTGCCTACAACCCCATCTGCGCCTTCGTCAACCGCGGGCGCAAAGCCCAGGTGAGGGGTGGGAGGGATGGGGTGCTGAGCTGGTGCTGGGCAGGGTGGTACTGGCACAGCCGCCATGGGCCTGCAGCAGGGTGCATGAGGGCTCAGCTCTGCCGGCTGGTGCTGGGGTGAGGGGGGCAGAGGCTTGGGTGGGCAGTGGCAGGCTGGGAGTGACCGTGGCTAACGGTGTTGTGCTGCTGAGTGGGGCCGAGCCATCTCTGCAGACTGAGGACTTCTCTTCGCACTGGAACTGTGCCCCCCTGTCTGGAACCTGATGGCAGCTTCCATGTGACATGCCCTCCTACCCTGCTGGCTGAAGCCACTGCTGAATCTCCACCAGGACGAGGAACATGTCATCCCACTGTGCCACCCACTGCCAGGCTGCTGAGCCCCTCACCGCAGATACCAAGGATGCCCGACACCACGACACTGGCATTGTACAGGAAGAACCATGGCAGGGGCTGTGCCAGCACATGTGACCATATCAGGGTTGTCCTTGATGAATGTCATCCAGCCCCAAGGACCACAACATGCAGTGAGAGGGTGGCATTGAAGCTGCATGCCACCAGACCAGATGCACGGCAGACAGAGGAGCACTTTCAGTTCAGCCCCAGGAGGGAGCCAGCGTCTGCAAGTAGCAACACAGGTGTCCCAGGAGTCCCAAGCTCCGTGAGGTATCTGTCACCTCTGTGCTGGGGTGGTGGGTCTCAGGCTCTGTCCTTTCCTGTGGTTGGAGAGAGGGCCACCAGCCCAAGCCGAGGGAGGATCACGGCGCTGGACGTGAAGGATGGATGTCTGCCTCAGTGCTCCCAAGCCTGGCATGGGCACTGAGAGAGGTGGATGCTGCTCAGGCCACTCCAAATTGGTATTGGACTGGGACTGGACTGGGACCAGGCTGGGCAGTGGCAGCATTTGAGGAGGACCAAGGGTGCTGGTGCATGTGTCCCTTCAGCAGAGCCAGCGGCAGTGTGGCAAGGACTGGGGGTTCCAGTGACCCCATGGTGCCAGTACCTTTGGTACTGGGGTATTGCTCCTTGGTACAGGGTGCTGCCAGCTGGGTGGCAGGTGCCATTTTTGCATCCCCAGGTGTGAGCCCAGCCTGGCTACCTGTGGGCAGTTGCCTCTCCTCTCTCTCCTGCCCCATGCCAGGGCACCCCAGTTCTGCAGGAGAGAGCAGAGGCCACCCCAGCCTGAAGCATTCAGGGACCCCCACAAGCATCACCCAGGGGGACTGCAGTGCTGCTACTCCATGGGTATCCATCACCCCGGCTCTTGGGGTCCCTCGCTCGCCCCTGCCCTGGGGGGTCCTTCCCCCACCAGCGCTAACTGTCTGCCCTGCTCCTTTTCCCCAGGGGTTTCCGCCGAGCCAGCCGGGAGGCCGGGAAAGCAGATCCACCGACAGCCCCCTCAGCCCGAGACCAGCACAAAGCAAGGTGGGAACCGGTCTGGGAGCCCGCCGCAGCCGTGCCCACCTGTCCCCAGGGGCACGCCAGAGCCGCGGGCTCCTTCGTCCCACTGGCATGCTTCCAACCCCCGGTCCAGGTGCCCTGTGCCATGGGCAGCCCTGCCATCCCCTTCCCTCTCAGCACAGCATCTCCCGGCCACCGGCCTGGCGTCGGCTCTCCTCTCACTAACTCCTTTCTCCCAGTCCATGTAGGATCCCCCCCATGGGGGACACTGTCAGGGATGGTGGCTCTCTGCCCACCGCCAGCTTTGCCCAGCTTCCAGCTTGCTATGTCCCTTAGAAGTGGGACCATGTGTTGGCAGAGCCACTGGGCTCAGGATGATTCAGGGGAGGATGCCAATGTGATGTGGAGAAGGTGTTTGGGTAGGGTCTACAGAAACATCGCAGCTGCTTTGTCTTGCCCTGTGAGGGACTCATGTCATCCTCAGAGGCAAGTGGGCTCAGGGAGGTGACAGCATCCTGGCTTTTGGGAACACCCCAGCATCCAGCCCACCCTGACAGTGTCACCCCCAAGCCTCTCCCCTCCGGACTAACATGGGGCAGTGCATGGGCCAGGGAGCACATGGGGCATGGGCACTCCACAGCAGCCTGGGGCTCCCCTGCCCCTGGGGTGATCGGGGGGGCACAGGATGATGTTGGCAGTGAGCATCTGCCTGGCAGCTCCTACTGCCAGCTCGGGGAAGCACCGTTGCCATTTCAGCCCCCTCGGGTCCCCACAGTTCCTCCCTCCATGCTGGGGACAGGGTGTGTGCCCCAGCAGGAGCTCCCTGGGGGCTGCCAGCACCTCCTTCCCGGCAACTCCAGTGCATTTCAAGACATGTTAAGCCAAACAGCAGGGCTGGCATCATGATGGCTCATGGGTTGTCTGGCTGGGAGGGTGACATGGTGCAGCCATGGCAAGGGCTGCACTGGAGAGAGACAGGTTGTCCCTGTGAGGGGTTTGCCCAGCTCAGGACCAGGGCCAGCACTGGGCAGAGGCATTTGTGATGATGACAGTGGCACAGCCTGCACAATGCAGCAATGGGGATGGCAGAAACATGGCTGTGTCCATCTCCAGGGCTGGGTGTCCCAGGAGGAGGAGCTGGTGTGAGCACACCCTCCAGTGGGAGATGCTCATGGTGAGATCCTGGCTCCTCACCCCCTCCTGCCCTTCCCAGAGCTGGGGCTCTGCCAGAACCCTGCTGGCCTCTCGATGGAGGGCAGCTGTCACCATGTCCATCACCCCTGCACCAGAGTCAGGGCACAGGGCCAGCAGGCAGCTCCACCAGCCCGATTTGGTTGCTGAAGGTCCCCCCCAGGCCCAGGCTTCCCATGGATGCTCCTGTGATGCTACTTCATCTCAGCTTAAGGTGGTCCCTGTGCCAGGGTGAGGGGTGACCTGTTGGCCAACCTGGCCCTGCCTGCCCCCAGGTGGCACCGGCGGAGGATTCTGTGTGGGTCTCTGGGGACAGCGTCAGTGTCGCCCCTGGCTGTGGATGTGTGATGGTGCCAGGGCTGGCCATGGCAGAGCTGACAGTGGGGAGACATCTCATGGAGCAGACACAGCATCTCACCCTGTGAAGAAAACCGCTGGAAAATGGGTCCTGGCAAGAGGAGCATGGTGGGTCTGGCAGCTGAGCTATGCCACAGGCCAAACCCTGCTTGCTGAAGCTGTTGGAACTGTGTGACCTGGATCTGGCCAAGCAGTGATGTGCGGCACAGCCAGCTGGAGTGAAGAGGCAGCCAAAGGGGGATGTTTTTCCGGATCTGGGGAATGGATGTCCTATTTCAACCTGGTGGCTCAGCCAAGTCTCCAAGTGGTGGAGGGCATGGAGAAGCACCCAGCATTGTTGGAGGAGTCGCTCACAGGGGCTTCAGCTTCCCGGGAGACCTGCAGACCCCTTCTGTGGTCCATCCACATCCATCCTCACTGCTGGGCACTATCCCAGAGGAGGTTGCCTCACCTGGTGGGCTTTGGAAGGTGCCACGGGGATGGAGGGGTGAAAGTCTAATCAGCTCCTCTATTTGCTTACCTCTCCAGGATTATATCTTCTACCTGGAGCCAGACAGGCTGGAGTCAGGCAAGGGGAAGTGTTCCTACGACCCCAAAGTAGACACCGTCTCTGCGTTAATAAGTGAGTCCTGTGGCTCCCTGGGGCCAGTGCTGCCAGCACTGGGCAGAGGGAACATGCAGGCAAGATGGAACAGCTGCTTCCACCATCTTTCTGCATTGTCCAAATATCCTCCAGGAGTCAGATTCCTGCCCCTGCCACCCCTTACTGCCCCAGCAGTGATGACTGGGCACCCAGGATGCCCAGTCCTTGGGCACTTGGCCCAGCAGAGGTGGGGTTCCTGGTTACAGGCCAGTACCAACCTCCAGAGCTCTCTGGGATGGCCACAGGCAGCGGCTCTTGGTTGCCCAGTGACTACCAGCTGGGACTGGGGCTGGATGAAGCCTGGGGAAGTTGGAGAAGGTGGGTGGATGGGACTGGGGGGCATTCCTGGCTGATCTCTGCCCTCTGCAGATGAAGAGCTCTATGCTGGTGTGTACATTGACTTCATGGGCACGGACGCAGCCATCTTCCGCACCATGGGCAAGCAGACGGCCATGAGGACAGACCAGTACAATTCCCGCTGGCTCAACGGTGAGTTCAGGTGTCAGCTGACCCAGGTGCCCTGGGGACCCCATGGCTCCAGCCCTAGAGATGACACCTGTCGTGTCATACTGCATCCTTCTGCCAAGACAGAGACAGCAACCAGCATGGGCAGGTGGATGGGTTGGTGGATGGATGGATGGATGGATGGACGGATGGATGGTTGACAGTTGATGACTGATGGATAGGTGGACGGATGGATGGACAGAAGATGTATGGGTGGATGATGGATGGGTGGATGATGATGGATGGATGATGGATAAATGGATGGTGGATGGATGGACGGATGCAAAAGAGCAGAGGGATAGCTGTGTGGGGCAATGACAGACATGCCTGGAGCTTTGCTGGGTAGCAGCCGGTGGGGCTGGCTCTGCCGGTGTCCGTGCAGGGATTTCTGCAGGGCTGAGATGTCAACCATGTTGCCTGCAGTCGGTGACCCCGAACGCTCATCCTGCCCCTCTCGGAGCACCCCTGCCCGCAGGACGGCAGCTGAGTAAACAGAGCAGAGCAGATGGGATGATCCTGCCAGGCCGGGGAGCCGGCGGGGCGGTAACCCGAAGAGGGGGAGCTGTCAGCACAGGCTGGGCACTGGCTGATGGATGGCAGGGAGAAGCTTCCTGAGAAGCTTCCATGCTGTGTGTTTCCTTCTGGGGGGAAGACTGGTTCCCACCACCCTGCTCGTAGAGCTGATGGATCTCTTCAACCTGTGTTCCTTGGGAATGCTCCCAGGTCCTCAGGGATGCTCCGAGCCCCTCCTGGTGCACTGATGGTCACCAGAGACCCAGTTCTTCAGCTCTCACCCTGTGACCCCAGCAGTGCTTTGCCAGGAGCAGGATGATGCTGGAGAAGAGCGAGGCTCAACATCCTGCCATGGTATGGTGCAGGAGTGCTGCTGGGTTGATGTTGTGTCGTGCCTTTCCAGACCCAGCCTTCGTTCGTGCCCAGCTCATCCCTGACAGCAGCGAGAGGAACGATGACAAGCTCTACTTCTTCTTCCGAGAGAAGTCAGCCGATGCCCCGCTGAGCCCTGGGGTCTATTCCCGCATCGGGCGCATCTGCCTGGTAGGTGGAGCAAGCAACAGGCAGGCAGGGGAGCAGGCAGGGAAGGGGGAAAGGGAATGCACAGGGCTGACCGCAGGGGTGTCGCTGTTGCAGAATGACGATGGGGGCCACTGCTGCCTTGTGAACAAGTGGAGCACCTTCCTGAAGGCCCGGCTTGTCTGCTCCGTGCCGGGACCCGATGGAATTGAAACGCACTTCGACGAGCTCCGTGAGTGGGCAAGAAGGGAGACAGGAGTCATCTCTACCCCTGCAGGCTTGGGGATCACCGTGGGGAGGGCTGGGGACACCCTTGCTGCCCCTCACCGTATTTTCCCGTGGGTAGCCACTCTCCCTATGCCCTGGCACCCCTGCCCACCTTCCCCATGGTGACACCTCCATCTTTCTGTCCCAAGAGGACGTCTTCATCCAGCAGACTCAGGACACCAAGAACCCTGTTATCTACGCCGTGTTCTCTGCTTCGGGGTGAGTTCTGACCCTCCTGGCACAGTGCAGCAGAGGAAGGGGTCCCAGCTGGGTGGGCAGGCAGCACCAAGCCAAAGGGTGGCAGCAGATCCTTCCTCCCAGGTCAGTCTTCAAGGGCTCTGCCGTGTGTGTCTACTCCATGGCCGACATCCGCATGGTCTTCAACGGGCCCTTTGCACACAAGGAGGGACCCAACTACCAGTGGATGCCCTACACGGGCAAAATGCCCTATCCCCGTCCGGGCACCGTAAGTACTCCCTGGGCACCCATGGGGAGGTGAGCTGGCGCCTGACAGGCAGCTGGAACCCTCGGACCCGTGCCTGAATATGGTTGTGCCACAGTGCCCTGGGGGGACCTTCACCCCATCCATGAAGTCGACCAAGGACTACCCTGATGAAGTGATCAACTTCATGCGCTCACACCCGCTGATGTACCACGCCGTGTACCCCACGCACCGCCAGCCGCTGGTGGTCCGCACCAACGTCAACTACCGCTTCACCACCGTGGCCGTGGACCAGGTGGACGCGGCAGACGGGCGCTATGAGGTGCTTTTCCTGGGCACAGGTACCCACGCCGCGCACCGCGGGGAACGCAGCATGCTCCGGCGCGGCCCCGGAGGGCACGGGCACCACCAGGGCTGGCCAGAGCACGGTGCCCTCCACCACGATAGAGTGGGGTGAGGGGCTGAGACCACCCTCCCCCCCGAGATCCCTGCCCCTCCTCAAGGCTCCGGCCTGGTCCTTCCCCTGCCCCAGTGCCCATCCTATGGACCAAACCACCCAACCTGGTCCTTCCTTTAGCCCAGTTCCCATCTTTGAAGTCAATGATCCAGCATAATACCTCCCATTCTAGGGATCCAGCCTGATCCTCTACCTACCCTGGTGCCCATCCCAGGGAGGGGCCTCATCATCCAACCTCACCCTATTCCTGATCCTAGCATCTATCCTACATGCTTCCTGTTGCCCATGCTAAGCCCACCATCATCCAGCCTTGTGCCTCCCCTGCCCACTTGCCCATCCTAGAAGCACTGGCATCCAGCCCTGTCCTTCCCTGACCCTAGTGCCCATCCTGGGCACATCATCATTCAGCCCAGTGCTTCCCCCTCTCTTAACTCATATCCCAGAGCCCCCATGATCCATCGTGGTCCTTCCCTGGCTGCTGTCCCCATGCTGCCCTGGGTGGTGGCAGTCCCTAACCACAGGTGGTGACCTGAGCTAGTACACTACACCCCAGGCACAGTCACCTGCCACAGCAGGAGCGAGATGGGGATGGGCTTGGGGGATCCTTCCCACCCCCAGTCTCAGCAGGGACCCCCCTCCCAGGCAGGGAGGGCACAGGTGCCCAGAGGTGGCACTGAGCCCCTGGGCACCGTGGTGTCTTGCAGATCGGGGCACCGTGCAGAAGGTCATCGTGCTCCCCCGGGATGACATGGAGACAGAGGAGCTAATGCTGGAAGAGATTGAGGTGTTCAAGGTAAGGGCTTACCTGTCCTGCACCCTCTGATGAGTGTTTTTGACCCAGCCAACCAGCCCCTTGGGACACCAGCCAGCCCTCTGGGACATCAGTAAGCCCCATGGGACACCAACCATCCCTTGGCCAGCTCTGGAGGGACTCCAAGCATTGGCCCTCCTGCCTGCTGCCCCCTCACATCTCCTCCTGCCTGTCCCTGCTCCAGCTGCCTGTGGTGGGTCTGAGGTACCCACCCCAGAGCTGCAGCTTCAGTCCAAGCTGTCACCCCTCCATCTTCTTCACTCCCGCCCTGTCCAGGTGCCAGCACCCATCAAGACGATGACCATCTCCTCCAAGAGGGTGAGTCACAGCACATGGCAGGGGGCTGGGTGGGCAGATCCCATCACGGGCCCAGCCACGGCACTGCCCAGCATCACCACTGTGCTGGAGCAGGAGACTCACAGGGGTCCTTGCAGGGTGGGGATGAGGCAGCATCTCACCCTGTGCTCTCTGTCCCCAACAGCAACAGCTGTATGTGTCCTCGGCCGTAGGCGTGACCCACCTGGCCCTGCACCGCTGCGACGTGTACGGGGAGGCCTGTGCCGACTGCTGCCTGGCGCGGGACCCCTACTGCGCCTGGGACGGCAGCGCCTGCACCCGCTACTCCGCCTCCTCCAAGAGGTACGGGGGGCCGGGGGGCAGCAGCAAGGAGGGACCCCCCAGCCGCAGGCTCCCCCTCTCACTTCCTGCCTCCCCACAGGCGGAGCCGGCGGCAGGACATCAGGCACGGCAACCCCATCCGGCAGTGCCGTGGCTACAACTCCAACGGTGAGGGAGGTGTGGGGCACGGCCCCACGGCATGAGGGGCAGCTGGGAGGGGAGGCTGAGGGCAGAGGGCGGGAGGCAGGGGACACAGGGGTGGGTTGATGATTTTGTGGGTGGATATGTGGGAAGATACATGGATGGTTGTGTGGGTGGGTGGATGAATGGATAGATATACTGGGGAGGAAGACAAACATGGGATACATTGGGATGAGGATGAACACAGATGGTGTTGGTGGATGGATGGATGGATGGGATACATTAGGGAGTAGAATGAACATAGATGGATAAATTAATACATTGGGGGTGGAACATGGATGGATAGATGGATATGCTGGGGAGGAGATTGAACAGATTTGAATGGGTGGATGGATGGATGAATGGATACAGTGGAGAGAAGGATGACTGCAAATCATGGGTGCATAAAGGAATGCGTGGGTGTATATGGATACTTCAGAGGAAGATGAACATGAGGGGGGATGGATGGATGGATGGATGGATGGACAGACACCCAGCGGGTGTGTGGCTGGAGGTGGATGGGAGCTCTCCCTTGGAGGATCAGTGGGCAGGGCAGGAGTGTAGAGTGGTGTGGGTCTGGAGACGCATGACCTGGCTGCCCCCTGCAGCCAACAAGAATGCGGTGGAGGCCGTGCAGTACGGGGTGGAGGG